AATCGAATGAGTATGAATCAAAATGGACAGAATTCAGAGTGGGTAGGATTCAGAGTGAATAATATGAATCAGAATAAATTGTTTACTTAGTGACAGGATTTGGAATCAGAGTCACTCCAAATCTCATTTATGCATTTACTTATACTCAAAATCAAAATAAAACAGTGTAAAAGTATTAATATACCCTTTAAGTCAATTTGATATTTTTAATTTAAAAAATAAGTTGTGTACTTATTATATTAAAATTAATCATAATTAAAATATTTAGTAATAATAAGGTATTAAAATAATAAATATAACTTGTACAATTATTTAAAATATAAAAATAAATTGTTAAAAATTTAAATCAAAATAAATCAAAATAAAAAATAGTGTTAAAAATTAAAATATATAATTAATTATTAAATAAATAAAGTACATATTTATTATATTAAAGTTAACAATAATTAGGCTAATATTATAATATTAGGCAAATAAAATAATAAATATATATTGTAATTATTAATTTTTGAATTTTATTTTGAATTTTATATTTATAAGTAAAAATAGGGGTATGATAGTAATTTAATGTTAATATTAGGAATGAGAGTCTCAATCTCAAGGAATGGCATGAGAGTGCCAATCTCATTCCTCAATCTTAAATTTGAGTGGGGCTCACCAATCACTCTCTCATTATTACAGGATAAAAAAGAGAAAGTAAATATATGATTAACTCTCATTTCTCACTCATATTCCTCAATCCTGATAAGTAAACATACCATAATTAATTGCCCTGGCGATTTATTACTTTACACAGAAGATTCTATGGATCGATTATGAGAGAGAAAGAGAAAAACACAAAGAGTTGTGAGGTGTGTAATTTTTCTATCATAACTTATTCTTAATCGAAGTAAAAAAAATTATAGTGGCTCAAAGATGACGTAGTCTCAGTTGAGGCGAACTTCTATAAATTTGTCTGTTTATTTTTGTTTGATTTATATTGCATTTTTTTATTACTCTCAGTAAATAGAATTAGGCGTCTAATTCTTAATAGTAAATGCACTTGAGACCAAGCTCCTTCGCTCCTTTAAAAAACTAAAATGAACATCCACGTCAGGAAACAACTATGCATATTAACATCAACTATAAACGAGGAAATTGAAAACACGACAAATCTAATAGAGAAGACGTCAAGTAAAAAATGACAGAATGTAGAACGACGATGATATTTGGAAACAACGTAAATGTATAATGACTCTTAACTTCAGGGTAAAAAACATCAATGATACGCCAGAAAACGACAATAATAAACTGAAAAGAGCATCGTTTAAAAAAAAACAACAACAAAAAATGTCGAGTAAAATGAGAAGAACGAAAGAAACGACATCTAAGTTATAAAAAAAATTGGCATCAAATAAAAACGACAAATACCCTCACAAAACAGGAACGATAAATAATATTTTTGGAACGACCTCAACATAACAAAGATGACAGCAAACATAAACTATATAATCTTAACAAACGACAACAATCTTCATGCAAGACGTGTAAAAAACGATCTCTCATTAAAAATATATATATATATATTTAAATTAACCGTGGAAAATGATAGCAACCCTAAACTTGGATTCATATAAAACCAAACAAATTGACTGATAAATTTTTTTTATCAAACATAAAATGAAATTAGATCAAATTTTGAGGTCAAATATAAAAAGGACACATTAAGAAGTACACGTGAATAATAACAACAAGAAGTTTAAAAACTACATCAGCAATATAAATCGACAATCACATGAAAACGACAACAATCCAAACCAGCCTTACCACATCTTTTCTGCTAAAGCTAGATACACAAATGCCCCTTAAAAGCCTTACCACATCTTTTCTGCTAGTAAAGTTCCAATGCCCCCATAAAGAATTAGTTATGGTCAACATTGTATGAACTCCCAAAATTACCCTTGCTGGTACCGTGACTTTGCCAATCGCCGGTTGCCGGTCATTGGAGACTTCATCGACGACGGTCGTAAGAGTGTAATCTGGTAGATTACTTTTTATAATCTACCAGATTATTTTTCTTCCAATTTCAATAAAAAAGATAATCTGTCTCCGACTCTATTCGCCGGAAACTTCGCCAGCGATAGTCGCTGAAGTGTAATCTGGTAGATTATTTATAATCTACAGATTATTCCTTTTCATTTTCAACAAAAAATAATAGTATATCTCTGGCTCCAATTGCCAGAATATTTGCAGACAACGACTGCTAGAGTGTAATGTGATAGATTATTTTTTATAACCTGCCAGATTATGTTTTTTTAAGTCACCTATGCGCAACAGTTGTCGAAGACAACACCTGGGATTAGAGCTGAACAACGGTTCGGTTTGGTCTTTAATGCGCGACAGTTTGGTTTCTACAAGTCGGCCACCAGAAAATATCGATATTCATGGAAATTTTTATAGAAATTTCATGATGTTTTACAGAAAAGATATTACATCCTATTTTTCAGAGTTCCAAAATATGAAAATTTATTCCGTGAAAATGTCGATTTTCAATCCAGGATTGTAATTTCCTCAAACCAAATATCCATCAATTATTGGGCCAAATAATCAGGCACAGTAAGATTCCTATCTCTATTATTCAAGCAACTTTTTTCTCTTTTTGAGTAGCGAGGCCGACCTAAAGCAGGACCAGTTGTTTCGGACGCTTCTCAATAAAAGTCTGTCGAGATGGTTGCTCTTTAACATCTCCTTCGGTTCGCTAATTCAAGTTTTTAATTTGAATTAAGATATAATATTATGTGAGAGTTTTTTACTGTAGCAAAAAAGTTAGATGTGACTGTTTTTTACTGTAGCAAAACTCAATTTCTAAACTCGAATCAGCGAAAAGAACGGGGCCTTAATTTTTTTTTTTTTCACTTGAGTGTCCCCACTAAAATAGATTCTACAATGATAAAGGAAACACTGGGTGCGTTTAGAATTTATTTTAAAATGATTTTGTTTTTTTATATAAAAATAGAAATGAAAACGCTTTCAATCTCAGACATAAATCATTTTTGAAAATGTGTTTGGTAGTTTTATCAAGAGATTGTTTTCAATATAAAAAAATCTATTAATATCTCTCTCTACTCGAGAGAGGAGAAAACGGAAACAAAAAATGAAAAACGACTAAAAATCGTTTTTCACTTCTCTCTCATTTTACACTAAACCAAAAAATCATTTTGATTTTCAGTTTTTATCTTTAATTGTACCAAACACCGTTTCTTTCTCGTTTTCATTTTTTTCTCTAAAAAAATGTGAAATATAAAAATAAAAACAACTCCAAACACAACCATTGTTTCTACGTTGCTTGCTCTCAACAAGAAGAATATCTGTAAAACTTCTTTGATATGGTTACCTTAATACTGTGTTTTAAACTACACTGAAAATTAAAATTAATGTACACACACGTATTTATTTGTACATATGTACATATATGTGAGTGATTTTTCAATTTGACATCTTTCATGAGGATTATACCTCGAATTCAATATATAATATATAATAGCAATTTGAATTATATTTTTTGTCTTGAGTCAAAATATCTAACTTAAGAGTTTTAACACTTCTCAAATTCAACCACTCAAAATATTTTTTAAATAGTAAAAAATATCCGCCATCTCTCCTCTTCACACCTACTATACAAAATTTAAATTTTGTTTCTTATTTATATTAAAATTTCAATTGTACATCTAAATATTAATTTAAATTATAATTTAAACCACACAATTTAAATTTTTCTATTCAAATAAAAAAGTTTAAGTCAACATAACTTAAACGAGCCAACCAAATTGGGACATAAATAATTGCATAGCTCGTGACACATTAATTAAACATGTCTAAACCTATTCTTTTTGTAATAATAATGATGACAACAACAAAAAAGAGAGAGAGAGAGAGAAAACTCCTCAAATCAACTTGTTACAGCCATGTGTAGGACTAGAGAGAGAGAAAAACGGAACATCTTGCCACAGGAATTAGATTCCTCTCTCCACTATTAAAGAAGCAACTTCTTCATTTCGAAAATCCACAGCAATCACTTGTCGTTTTTCAATCATTATTATCCACCCCTTCATTCTCTCTTGAAAACTCATTTGGAGCTTTTTCATACAGCACAAAGTCACAAATATAATCCAAGTAAAGCTTCTGAGAGGTTCATCATACAAACTTGATGCATAAACTGATATCTGTTCAACTAAGTGGTAATGAAACTCGATATTCGTGAATATGCAGATTTGAATATCCCAGACTGGCTTGGAGATTCTTTGTTTTCAAAACTGATATCTGTTCAACTAAGTGGTAATGAATATTGTATGTTCTTACCACCCCTTAGGAAATCACCTTTTCTTCGAGAGCTTGTGATTGAAAGCTTCTACGGGGTTAGAGATGCCATAATGAGCTGGCCGGCCCAGCTTGACCCATTCTCCTTAGGCCCAAGCCGGCCAAGCCCACTATTTTGGTGAGCTGTCCCGTACCAGTCTATCTATGAAAGACTAATCCTCCGCCCAACTCATCTCATGGTCAATTTTTTGTGGTCAATAATAATATTAATGATAATGAAATAATAAGAGAAAATGTTATTTTGATACCATCTGTTATATCGAAATATAAGTTTAGTATATGCGTTTTTTATCATTTTATGCCGGTCGACGTTTTAGAAAATAATTTTTTAGTACTCTGAGGTAGTTTTTTGAGAGGTGAAATGTCATTTATGCAATTTACTTAATTTATTCAAATTTATAAAAAAAAAAATTAAAAACATTTTAAAAAACAAACTCAATTTTTAATACATTTAAAGCATTTTTTAAATATGTTTAAAAAATTTTAATTTCTAATTAATTAAAGATAAGGGTAAAATTGACATTTTACACTTAATAAACAATCTCGAGGTATCAAAAAACTATTTTCTAAAATATTAAGGTATATGCATGAAATAATAAGAAACACGGGGATACCAAAAGCATATTTTGATATAACTCATGATATAAAAATGAAAATTTTCCTAATAATTAATATACTAATAATAAAGTACTGGGTATGCTACGGAAACATTAGAACACTACTGCCAGGCAAATACCCAAAAGCCGTATTATTTCTCTAAGACAGACGATGATCGATGTAACATTGAATTCAGTATAGTTCAAAGCAGAGAAAGTATGGAGAAAAAAGCGATCAAACTCGTATAGTGAGGTATGAACTTTCACTCTGTTTTTACACTTGTCTGGATTCTTCTCAACAACAATGGCACAGGCTGTTCCAAGACAGACACATTGATATTGTTCCAAACATCTGGTTTGGTGGGTAGCTGAGCAATTTTCTCAGCTATTTTCATGTCCTCCGGAAGAACAGAACCAAAAACGGTGTACGCGTTTTTCCATTCTTCATGGTTTGCCAGGCTTATAACGAATTCTGGACCGGAACCGATCCAAGCTACGGAACCCCTTCTAATTGTGGGGCAAACCTCAGTTGGGATCTTCTTGAATGGGTTTCCCATGGCTTCCAATGTTCCTTGAATCAGTGCAAATGGGGGACCAAAAGAAGCCTGAGAAATTAAACAATGTGGAGTTGTCAATGAAAAGATTGTAAGCAAATATGGTAAACATGTACTGCAAATAGCATTTTAGATACTTCCAACTATTCGAATGGATTTTCGACAATTTTTTGGCTTTTAACCAATCCCCAGGAACGTAAAACATTTCAGCTTGAACACTTAACCTATAAAAAGTTTTACTTCATATATTTTTAAAGAGAACAAATGGGCCAAAGATAACAATGAGATAATTGGATAAAAATGAGAAAAAAAAAATGAAAAAAAGAAAGATGATATGAGACTCCAGAAAGACGCAGGTAGATATGAAGCTCCAAGTTGGTCAACACATTAAACATTTACAACTTCTGGCAGAGTGAAGAAAACAAAACAAGTCTTACCTTTTCTATGTGGTTTCCTTCTGAATCCCAGGATTCCCCTCTGCTCTCAGCACGATAAAATTCACAACCCGCACAGTGCCGCAATGCCAACAACTCAAGAATGTAGGCTACAGAATGAGGGGCACAATCAGGGAAAAGCTGCACCAAGTGAGTATTGTCAGACTACATGGACAGTATTGGCAGGACTCAAATTTACCCATCAAGAGTAAAATTCCTTTTCAGCTTTTTTATAAAATTTAACAGTTATGGATGTGTTGCAGACCCCAGTTCCATGCCGTTCTTACAACAGGCTATATTCTCCAACCGTCAACCTTCTTAAGCGTAATCCTTTCTAGACCACATCAAACAGATTTTTCTATACAATACCTAACTAAAGTTTCTGCCAAATTTTGATTAGATTAGAACCAAAAGAAAATAAATAAATAAATAAATTATTTCCATCCTTGACTGTTGTACAGTACAATATTCCAGTCATAAGCGTACACGGACCAATCATAAAGCGAAATAGTATCTGCCTGTATTTTTTTACATGTAAACTATTCATGTTCCGTTGCACACGTTGTTAAATGCACCTAAATTTTAAACATGGAAGATACTGTCTCCTACCTATTAATCCAGTTACTCTATATATCATAGTCATGATATCAAAAGCATCGGGCTTCTTTGTGGCACAGTAGAGCATGAACAGTTAACTACCTTTATGTGAAGGGTTCCATATTTTGTTTCCAAGCCAACAATTCCCTGGAAAGAGAAACGACATAAACAAATCAACGTAAATGGCCTAGATAATTTGACCATGTAGGTAAATTGCCGAAAATTAAACACTACAAGGAAGACAAGAAGACACAACACAGAACATTATGAAACACTACGAAGTTATGGAAGCCTTTCGATTGCAACACGGAAAACAAACTCCGAAAAGGCAACGAACATTTCTTCATACACAGACAACAATCATAAATTGTAATTTCCAAGACCAGCTCAATACTCTCTCCATATAGAAACATATAGACTTAAGGCAACAAAACTTAGACATACCTCTCCTTTTCCAAAGATGAGCCCGGAAGTCCAACTAACTTTTTCCCCTGCTTCTTGCCGGTCAGGATTCAAAGTATCCTTCTGTTTCTTCAACCAGCACTGCAGTGGAAAAATGAATTCAGAGAACTAGAAAATTATTCACGAGAAAATATATATATAGCTTAACTGTCAATGGGGTGTGAAAAAATTCCAATGTATGCATCACCATCAGATGCTTACAACACGGAGACATATTTTCAGATAGAAAAATGCATTTCTTTTTAGACTCATAAAACGAATAAGATAAATAAGAAGATAAGATAGAAAAAAGTAAATTTGCACAAGTCAAATCCTATTGAACAAAGAGGAAAGAATCGACGTCATGCTTTTAAAATAAGTGATAAATTTGCACAAGTCAAATCTTATTGAACAAAGAGGGAAAAAAACAGACGTTATGCCTTTTAAATAAGATTTGCCTGATCCAGCTTAATGCGTAATCCATCAAAGTAGAATATTGAAACGTAGCTTTACAGCAATGTATATACTTAATTAAAAAAAAAAAAAAAACAGAAGCAAAATAATAGCTTAATCACCACATGAAACTGTTTGGAGTGTGGAGCCGAATTATTGTCCTGATGCAAAGCAAGCACATGAATCAACCCTCGGTGATGAAGGTCAATGTGGAAAGGGGAGGTTTTGGGAATGATATTAGAGAAAGAAAGACAATGAGTCCGAGAGACACGAGGTGTGTGATTTTCTTATAATCTTCTTCTTCATTATAGTGAGAAGCTACAGAGACTAAAAGTGAACATGGCTCTCAATTAACTAATAACAATTGATCTTGTTAATCAGAATTAAGGCGCCTAAGCCATAACAGAATGAACGTACAAATAACAACCATTGCAACAGAAACATGACAAGTTTGGCAACCCCCACCCACCAACCAAAAAATAAGCTTAATCACACAAAAAAAAAATCACAAAATCACAAACAATAAACATCGCAACACACACACACCAACTTCACAAACACATAAATTAGCCGTTGACTGCTTCAAAAAAAAAAAAAAAAAAAAAAAAAAGCCCCTCACCTCGCCGAATTTCGACCCACAAGTCTCTTTATTTCCGCAAAAGACCCAAGTGTCGCACAAACACGGACCATCATTCCCAGTACACATGGCCTTACAAGCCTTACAACACTCCTGAGAAGAATTGAACTTCAAATCAGATCCCCACTTCACGGCGGCTCCCCAGAGCTCCAAGTTCTCGATTCCTCTGCAACACTCGTCCCCATTCGAATCTGTTTCCACACGCCCGCCTTGTTCTTCGACCGATGAGGACTGGGAAAACGACGTCGTCTAGAAATTTCTGGGCCTGAGGACCACAGAGAGGAAGGCGTAGAGCTTTCTGAAATCGCCATTGTTCCAGATGAAATTTGGGGAAAAGAAGATGTAGAAGTTGCTGGGCCTGAGGACCACGGAGAGGAAGGCGTAGACCAGAGAGCAGGAGATCAGGGCCAGGCAGAGGAGGACGAAGGAAGAGCATTTGGTGGATTCTGATTCGATGTGTCGCCGACCCATTTCGGATTTTGGGGAGAGGATCAAAACCCAGAAGCAGATTTTGTTGAGGTTTGGATTTTGAGGAACATTTTTTGGTGGGCGTTGACCGTGAAAAAACCAAAAAACAAAATTTTTTTTTTGGTTTTGTTTATGAGGTAAAGATAATCAGAGATTACGTGAAAATGAATCAGAAAAGGATATAAAGGTTTGTATATTATTTTTTGCTTGAAATATAAGGTTTGTATATTAAAGAAGTGATTGATGTCCAATGATCTTTCCGAGATAAGAAAAAATGATTTTATGCTTTTCGAGTTTTAACGGTCTGCCAAGACAGGGCAGAGTCACAGAAGCTGTATACAAACGACGTCGTGGAAGCCACTTGCCAAGTTGGCAATGGGCGTGTAAAAGAGAATGGGAAATAATATACCCTTATTAATATAAGAAAGGAAGCAAATATATATTAAAAAAACACACATTTAATATTTACTTATTTTTCTAAAAAAATTTATTTTCTTAAAAAACAATTTAAAATTGAAACACTTTAGCTAAGATAAATAATTAATGGATATTAGACTAGTAAAAAAAATTAATGGATATTAGATGTGATCACGCTTATTGCTCTTAGATTCTTCGTACTATTATTCTAACTACCCTAATTCTGTCATTAACTTCTTTTATATTTAGTATTTGTTTTTTTTTTTTTAAAATACTCTGCTTTTTTCAGTTAAACAAAATGACAATATCAATCCAAATGAAATTTACGAAACAATTAGGGCACGAATTTCCAAATTATGGATAAACAATGATTTGATGACACGACGTTTAATCAACTTTGATTGTCTTTTAATCGATGAAGAGGTAATAATTCTTACAAATATTACATTATATTATTTTTGATCTAACATTAAATACTATAAAATAAATAACATTTTTATTTTTGTCACTTGCAGCATGAAGCAATCCATGGATTAATTCGGACACGTAACTCAGGCATTATTTCTGAAAAAATTCAATTGGACAATATATGTGATATCAGTAATTTTGTTATCAATGAGAACAAACCAACATACAGGTGGTGGAAACTCTAACGTGGACCAGTTCTTGAATGCACTGGATATATAAGTCTGCAAGGCACAGGAAAGATAACTAGAGGGAAAGAAATGAAAATAATCATGCTCTTTCAGAGCAAAAAGTAATAAAACAAAACAGCAAATTCTTTTTGTTGTGGCATGATGAGAACAAATTTCTTGAATTAATGGCGACGCAGCTCTTAAATATTCTGAACACATCGCTATAAATGCATGAAGACATGGACCAGATGCGTTGTTAGCTCATTTGATTCCACCTTTAATGTCGTTTAGGGAAGTTTGAGTGCAAATAAGGTCAGCCAGCTTTTTAATAGCTTACTAATTGGAGAGATCGCGACTTTTCTTTTTGTTAGGTGAAAGCAGTAACTTGGGACAACTAGTAATTATTTTTGTCTGGCTATGCTGAGACACAGTGCCTCCAAGAATTGATAACCAAAGCACCTTCCAACTTCCAAGTTCCAACAAGTAACTTGAAAGCAAATTATAAGAAGCTAATGCCCAAAGAAAATTTCTCGATTACAAACTATTTGGCAAAGCCACAGGTAAGGAAAAGGAATAGTGCTTAAAAGAGTATTTCATAAAAAAAAAACATTTTTTTTTGGTTACATGACAAGTTATTATGGAAATTACTTCCAATTATTATTTGAACATACTATGATCATTATTAATAAGTACATTAATAACTCGTGACAGGATAGTGATACAAAAGAAAAAACAATAACCAATAGTATTTATGAATACATCTTCTAGTTTTATATAACAAATAACTACTAACTTTAATTATATATTTATAGTGTTAACAAGTTTAGAGCCCATTTGGTTCATGAATTAGAACCATTTTCGATTTACGTGTGTTTTTTTATGAGAGAAAATATTATAGCGAATCATGAACCATGATTCGAATCAGAGAACGAATCCTCCAACTAAACGGGCTCTTAAAGATTCTGAATATTCCATATCCATTAGCAAATAAAAGTGGCCATGCCAAAATTTTTAATGAGAATATTTATTCGGTGAAACTATTGGACTAAACATTATTGCACCAACCATGCTAAAACGCATGCACGCAAAACTTGAATCTGCCACTTAATTATTTGCACATTTATATGATTATTCATAAAAAAGAAAAAGGTATATTAAGTTCTAAATTAATTTTCATAATATATAGGATAATAACAATTAGAGTTAATTTCAAAACAACTGCGTTTGCCGGGAGTCGAACCCGGGTCTATTGCTTGGAAGGCAATTATCCTAACCGTTGGACTACAAACGCAAGTGCTGCAAATTTCCTTGCTATTTAACAATTACATATTGGATACTACCAATTCATTGGCTATACAATACTTAGGGCTTGTTCTTTTACATTTATGAGTTATGGTGACTTGAATGATGATTTTGAGTTAAGTTTGAGTTATAACTTAAGTTTGTGTTTGGATGTGAACATTTGAGTTATGATGAATTGAGAATCCATTTGAGTTTGTATTTGAGTGGGTCAAAACTTAAATTTATATTTATATAGTATTTTAATAAAAACTCAATGGTAATGAAAAATTTTAATAGGGTATATGGGTGGGGTTGTATTCGTCTTTTCGTTGTAAATGCATAGAAAAAAAATCATCTCAATCAGAATTAAAACGAAAAAGTTATGACATTTTTAAGAATAAAAAAAATATTATTTAATAACTTGAGTTTAAGTTTATAAACTTGTGTTAAATGAGAAACTTGAACTCGAGTTTAACCCTAAATTCGAGTTCAAACTCGAATTCAAACTCAAATTTTACAAAAAAATATGAACTTAAATAAAATTATAATTCAAATTTAAATTTTTTCTAAATTTCGTTGTAAAAAAACAATCTCTAGATTTTGGACCCAAGGAAACGACAATAAACTAACATATACTCTGCCTAGACTGCCATGGTACATTCATGAGTCGTGACTTCCAAAAACATTAGTTCCTTTTTCTTTTCTTTTTTTTCTTTTTTGAGATAACAAAACATTTTACTTCATTGGCAACAGCAAAAAGAACAAGATTTTTGCAAATCCTCTGTCTAGTGAATGTAACTTAGAAATAATAACTATTGATTGAGATCGTGCAAAACAAAATTACAAATACCCGAAAAGAAAAGAATTTCTTAACAAACCTACAAAAACAAAAAAAAAAAAAAAAAAAAAAAAAAAAAAAAAACCCATATAATCATGTTGCAAATGATAAAACACCCCTTAAATGAATTATTGTAGCAATATTGACAGTCAAACTAATATTAATGTCAGCAGAGTCAATTTGTTAACTAATATTAGTGCCAATTGTTGGGCACATTAATGATTTTGCGGATGATGAAACACAACTTCCTTAACTGATTAATTATTGTAGGAATAACACAATAGTGCTAATCGAACTTATATACATGTAAAACGCAATTGGTGGTTCCTTCTTGCATTTTTTGCAAGGCACATTCAGATTCGATCAAGGTAAGACAATAGCGTTTTGTAAGAGAGACAACAAAAGGTAGAAGAAGAAAGTTCAAAGCAAGATATTTAACAAATTGCAAGATATTTAGATGGCAATTCATGGAAGAATAAAATTGCAAAATTAACAAATTTCATTTTGTTACTTTTAATGCACCTTCAGCTTGATTTGAAATTTGAATAGCCTTGTACCTACCCCAGATACCCATGTTGAATTAGATATAAAAAGTAAAATAGATTTTCAGTTATTCAACTGGATAACATCTTTAGTGATCTTATTTTTATGGTCGCACAACTTGATTTGAGATTTAGGCCTCGTTCGTTTCGCTGATTCGAGTTTAGAATTCAAATTTTACTACAGTAAAAAGCTCTCACAAACAGTCACATCTAACTTTTTTGTTACAGTAAAAAACTCTCATATAAAATCACATCTCAACTCGAATCAGCGAAACGAACGAGGTCAGTTCTTCAACGTGAGATCGTGTCTAGATCTTTTCTTTGTGTATGGGTTTGAATCGCTAATAAAGTGAATAGCTCTAGATAACTATGAATCTATGATCTTTCTCCAGCTAAAAAAAAAAAAAAAACCAAAAAAAAAGAAGAAAAAAAAAGGACTATGATCTTTGTCTTCTTAAATGTTCTAGTTAGTTTTATATATCACATTTTATCCTCTTATATGTTCTAAAATACCATGTTTTTCATCTCTTTGAAAATAGATAGTTTTCACGTTCTTTCGGTAAAGATGGACTGTAGCACTAGTCGTATTTAGCAAGTTATACGACTAACTTGTCAGTAAAATAAATAAACTTTTTAATAAGTGACACTTTGTTCTCTTTTTTAATTTTAACAAAATTATCCCTAAATTCTCAACACGTTGACAATTAAATCCTTTTTGTCAATTTTTTTTTAATTTTTAACAAACTACATCGCGTGCAACGCACGTCCACCAACACAAGTATGAAAATTGGTAAAATAAAAAAACTCAACTCATAATTCATAAGAAAACAAAAAAAAAAAAAAACCGTGCAACGTTCTTTCTCTTTCTAATATTTTCTAGAGAAAATGTGCAGACTTCAAAAACCTAGCAAGAGAATGAAAGAAAGAGAAGACCATTGGCGGGAGAGGGGGTGCCTGGATCACGCGACTGCAAGGAAAGGGACTTCGATCTCACGATGGAAGAGGAAGTGGGAACTTATATCTCGTAATGATGGAAAAGGGGCAACTCAATCTCAAGATGGTGACGAAATGGGCGGCACAATCTCACGACGACGAGAAACAAGAGAGTGCACGTTGTTCATGGGAGGTAGAATGGAAGGGGTTCCAAAACTGGGTGGGGGTTTGCACTATGTGATTCTCTGTCACGCCCCGCAGCCGGGGTCAGTGACATGGAGATCGATTAGGAGTTAAACACACGATAATAAAAGAAATTCCCAACGAACACCACACTTAATTAAAATAAATTACAGC